TACTGGAGGAGGACGAGCGAAGCCGTACTAGTCCTAGCCGCGCTTGCCAGACCAGCCGAAACATGCAATAGCCAGCGCTTCACCATCTTAATGCCGTCTCCTATGTCCATCTCCTATGTCCATCTCCTACCTTATGTCTGTCTTATGTCTTTTTTGCCAGTTCTAATGTTCTAAAAAGAATGCCCTCCAGCAGACCTAATACGTCTTAATACGCTCCAGAATGACCATCCCATACCTAATATCCCCGGAGTCTGGCGTTTCTCCTTTATTATTTAATTTCCTATTGTTCTAGTCCCTTTTTTTCATATTGTGTATGTTTGATGTCTATCTTATCCACGCCCTCTACTAGAAATAACCCCCTTTCTTGCTTTACTTATGGCCCCCGGTATTCCTATTATGTACCAATTAGCTACCGCGCACGCTCTCTTTCCAGCTTCCTATCATTTCCTCATACATTTTACACGTCCCTAGCCGGCATCTGATACCCCCACTCGGCAGCCACCTACTTCCTGGAAAGCTTTTGGTTGGTCCTCTAGACAGCCAGACGATGGACTCCTTTTCTCGCTCAGCATCAGCATAGCATAGATAGGCATGAATCGCATTACTTGGGGAGTTTAAACAGAACACGTCCGTAGGCTTGCTTTCTCTATTGCATCCCAACTTCTATTCTATTCGTCTCGCCTTTTATATCTTCTCCCGGCGCTGAGATAGATGAAGGAGGTCCCTAGGGGGGTCAAGTAGATAACGGCCAGGGGAAAATTTTATATCGGCAAAACTTCGGCCCGGATTTCCTCACGTGATGTCCTCCATTACATAAGCATGTACCTTCAATCCACGAACTTCCGCAGCGACTGGAAGAAACTACACTTGCGAACAGGAAGAAGGATAGAGAAAAAGGCGATAAGAGGAAGAAAAAGAGGAAGAAGAGAGACACGGAAAAAGGCAGACAGAGATGGCGTCCGCTTCCATGGCGTCGACGCTGCTGCGGTCGTTACGGGCGGCCCAGCAATGCGCCCACAGGCCCTGCCAGATCAGACAATACAGCCAGCTGCTATCACGAACAGCAGAGACGACGAGACACTCGCTGCGGCCTCTCAGCAGACAGGCCCGTCCGGACAGATCCAATGCCTTTTCTACATCCACGGTGCGGCCGGCCAAGACCATCGAACAACTCAAGGCGCGCTCTTCTACGGGACCGTTCTCATGGAAGTCGGCGGTTCTCTTCGTGCTCACGGGAGCTGGCATGATTGTCTATTTCCAGTATGAAAAGGCACGGCTGGAGCGCGAACGGATCGTGGAGATGAGCAAAGGCGTTGGGAAGCCTCGAGTAGGCGGGCCGTTTGTGCTCAAGGACCTCAATGGAGAGACCTTCACGGAGGAGAACCTCAAGGGCAAATACAGCTTTGTAAGAAAGAACTGCTATTTACAATTCACGCTCGGAACACAAGTTAAGCATATGGGACTGACGAAACAGGTCTACTTTGGTTTCACACACTGCCCTGACATATGCCCGGACGAGCTGGACAAGATGGCCGAGATCATCGACGAGGTACGGGCCAGGTCGAACGGACAGGAGGTGATGCGCCCGGTGTTTATCACCTGTGACCCGGCCCGAGACAGCCCAGAGGTGCTAAGAGGGTACCTGAACGAATTCCACAAGGACATCATCGGCCTGACGGGCACGTACGAGCAAGTCAAGGATGTGTGTCGCCAGTACCGTGTCTACTTTAGCACTCCGCAGAACATCAAGCCCGGCGAGGACTACCTAGTTGACCACAGCATATACTTCTACCTAATGGGTTAGCATGTCCCTTGTCACCACCCTGAAGAAGAAGATACTAACAAAAAGAATATGGTAGATCCTGAAGGCGATTTTGTCGAGTGTATCGGACGGCAGGACACACCCCAGACGGCATCAAAGGTTATCCTGGACCATATTGGAGACTGGAAGCGGGCTGGCAAGCCCCTGGATGTGACTCCCAGTAGTAAGTAGCGAGGAAATTAAAGTAAACGGACAAGACAAGTCTCCCTCCTCCTGTACAATATACTATACTCCGTATAGCCCGAGATATATATATCCGATGAATGTAATAATAGCAACATGTAAACAGGCCTATCCCTCCAAGAAAGTGTGTAAGAATAGCTCTCGAGACTACTGGGCCGGCTTCCCATCCGCGTCCCGGTCTCGGTTGGCCCTCCACTCGGCAGACGAGCTGTCATCGGCAAAGTCTTCTCTCTTCCATATCTCGACCTTCTCCTTGCACTTCTCTAGGATCTCCTCTGCCGCCCGCCAGGCTGGCCCTCGATGTGCCGCACTCACCGCGATCACGATGCTCTCCTCTCCTACAGCCACCTCGCCGAGTCTGTGAGCTATGCTGACACCCGTCAGGCCATGTTTGGCAGTAGACTCCCGGGCTATAGCCATCATAGTCTTGAGGGCCATCGGCGCATAGCTCGAGTACGCCAGCCGCGCAACCGGCCTGTCTGCAAAGGAGGACCGCGTGGTGCCCAGAAAGAGGATGTTTGCGCCGGCATGGGGAGAGCGGACGTGAGCTGTGTACTCCGAGGGCGCCAGAGGACTGTAGGTCAGCTCAACCCGGATGTTGGACTCTGGATGCGCCAGGCGCTGCGGGAAGTTGGCCGGGTCGAGATGTGCGGGCGTCTGCTCGTGCTGCTCTTCGTCCGCCATGGCGTCTCTCTGTTATCTTTCTTGTCCTCTTCTCCCCTTCGTAGATGATATGCTCCGTCTCCGTCGACTATTTATCACTTAGATTAACTCGCGAGTTTATATCCAGCGGCAGTGAAGTCGGGAAGAAGTGGTGGTTGATCTGTGATGCGCCATGACAGGCGAGAGGCCAATTGCGTGCGGCGGGAAGGGAGGCCCGCGGTTCCGCCAGCCGCCTCTTGGCCTCCAGGCCATGGATGGATGCGCCATTGGGCTCACCGTCCTCTTCAGCTTTCTTTTTTTGCGGTGCTTATAAGGCGGGGTTTCGCTGTCGTGATTATTGACATCTCGACGTTGTTGATGTTGAGCGCAGTTTTGATGCTGTGTTGACTCCTGTTATTCCACCGATGCCTGCGGTGATAGCAATATATCACTGAATAATAACACTGCGGATCACAGGTAGTATTATCACTACAAGATACCAGATACCAAGAGAAGACAGGTACCAAGTACCGCGGCGAGGAAAGAGAATATGAATCTGAGAGGTTTATATTAATGCTCGCTGTCTATATATCCTGTTGAAGAACCACAAGTCGGTACCGCATTGCGCATGATTAGGAGATAAAAAAAAGATGATGATGAAAAGGATGATGATCTCAAGACCGAGAGATCATGCAAAGAATGAAAGAAACGAAGAGATGCTGGCAAAAAAGGTATCCCGAAGAATGGTATATGTGCGAGTTCGAGGCGGAGTACTATGTGCAGGAGAGGAAACTGGGTGGGCTTTTTTGAAGGCGGAGAAAAGAAGAAAGAGCTAGGAGAGGACGAGAAACGAAGAGAAGCCTGGCCTCTTCAGCGCCGACAGCATCAAGCATGAAGGTTGGAAAAGAGGTTTATGGTCGTGGCAGTTGATCGTAGATGGTGAGTGATGAAGATTCTATCGGAAGAGCTCCTTGGTGCATGACTTATACACCGTCAAGGCGAAAACTAGCACCCACATGCAAGTAACAACAATAGAGAAGAACTAGAGAGACCCAAGGTTAGTACGCGTTTTTCTAATATTACACAGGATTGTGAACTAAGGACTCCAAGACTTACAGTTCCGAGAATGTCGAAGAAGGGAGAGTTGAACTCCTTGCCCATCTGAGTGGTAGCTGTGGTGAAAACACCGAGCGGGAAAGTGAACGCCCACCAGCCGATGTTGAAGTAGAACTTTCCGCGGGTGAAACTGGCCAGGGCAAACCACAGCCAGATCAGACCGAATCCCCACATGATCATGGCGATGAATGCGCCCATGACATAGAAGATGTCACCGGCAATGGGAGCAAGGAAGTCAAGCTACACGAGAATTAGCACTCAGAACAAAAGGTTCTCCCCAGGACAACTAGAAGGAATGGGGAAGGGGCTTACTCTTGGGAAAACACGCTTGGCTACGACACCAAGCTGCATGAGACCAAAGCCACCCTGTCCAAGAGGGCCGATGGGCAGTAGGGCACTGACAATGGCTGCTCGAGGAACCAGCTTGTGTATGGCAAGACGCTGGAAGTAGATGACGAGGATGACCATGGCCAAGGGGACGGCAGATCCCCACATGGCATAGCAGACGAGGATGGTGATGAGAGCGTGGGTGTCGTTCTGGAGTGAATCAGCAACCACACCTCCAGAGGCGGCCGCGACAACGGGAGCCACGATGGGGAGCAACCAGGCCGCCGTCATCGTCTCGAGGGAAGAGGTATGTTTGGTCATTCTTCTCTGGTTAGCCTATAAGGTCTGGGGAAGAAAAAAAAAGGTATCTGGTGAGGTTCAACTTACAGCATGAAGGGGACAAAGTAGCAGATGGCGACTGATACGGCGGCATCAATCCACCACAGACCCCAGGCAAATCTGGAGGCCCATTCACCCCAGACAGGTACGCAAATGAAAACGATACAGTTAATGATTGTGGCGAAACCCATGGGGAAGGTTCCAAGAAGCATAGAATGAGCGGGATGTGCGAGCATGGCCTTGAATTTGTCGGGCCATAAGCAGTATCGGGTGATCGAGATGGTCAAGAAGAGGAAGAAGATGATTACGTTGAGGATGAAGAGGACGACGGCGATGTAGTGAAGGCCGGGGAACTGGTACGGTAGGTTTTGGAGTAGGATGGCAGTGATGCCAGTGCCCATGTTTACGGAGAACCATCTATCACCAGTCAGTCAGTATATTCTGTTTTTTTTTTTTTTTTTCTTTTCTCCTCGATTTTGTCCTTGATATTTTCAATGACAGATTCAGACTTACCCTGGGTGGAAGTTAGAGATGGCAATCCAGTCGTCTCTCTTGCGGGCCTTCTCGCCGGCCTCCTCGATGTTATGGAAGCCGGATCCTGATGGCATGGCTGTGACCTGAAGCTCGTCGTTATCCGGGGCAACTGTTCTCTCTGACTCTCTGCTTCTGCTACGCCCTCGATCTTGCCTACCAGAGGAAGATCCGTGTGAAGCCTGTTTTGATAAATGAGTGTGAAGGTCCTTGGTGTGGTTGAACGAGAGTCGGTGGTCGTCAAGAGGAGAGCGCGGCTTGAGAACATCAGAAGAGGAGGAGGACGAGCCCGCTGTTATTATGGGACTGGTAGCTGGGGTCTTGTCGACGGCCATCTTGCCGAAGGGCAGCGCGGCCGAGTGACTTTCCAAGGGCCTGCAGAGTGAAGTTTCTCAGCGGCCTCTATCACCCGGTTGTCCGTCACAGAGAGAGCAGCAAAGATGTATGGGCGATCGGCGGCGTTTCAGGTGGGTAGGGAGACGAAATGAGACGGACGGAGTCGGGTCTAGGATCCTTGGGTTGGCGAGAGGGCTAGTTGAAACGTTAGCTGTCAAGCTGACAGTCTGATATATTCAGCGTTGGTAGTCGAGTTGGAGTTGGTAGAGGGTGTAAGTATATGGTGAGGGAGAAGGGAAGATCTGTGGCAGAGAGGCAGGACGGCCGAGTATATATGAAGAGATCCTATTCTCGGGCGATGCGATGCTCTCTTCGGCGAACCAGGCGCAGCTCGCATCCCCAACGTCAGGCCAAAGGGAGGATCGGACCATTCTCTGGTTCTGGTTCGCTGTGGAGGATCGCTTTTTGCTTTCAATCTGCCTTTTTTCCTTTGCTTTTTTTCTTTCGCCCTTTTTTTTTTTTCCTTTTTCCTTTGCCCTCTTTTTTTGTAACTAAGATTACGGGCCCCTGGAATAGCCAAGGCGCAGCCCGGCGAACTCTGATCGCCATCTCGTTTGGCCCTGCAAAGACTCTTCTCTGATTCCGGGATGACATCGATTGACAGGAGGCTCGCATGGCCATGGCGAGAAAAAGCAGAGCTCAAGACGCCGTCTCTTGTCTGTCCCTCGTCCGCCGTCCATAGTCGTACAGAGCACAATTGTGCAACTGGCAGGTTGCTTAGCTGCTGCTGTGCCACCCAGGGCTGTCCATCCAGGAAACAATTGAGTCATGTCCTGGTCGGCGGCCACTGCCGGCCAAGTCGGCCGAGAACACTTGGGCCTGCTCTCGTCCTCACTTCTCTCTCTCTCTCACCCTTTCTGGCCTTGCTGGCCGTTCATCAAACAGCCTGTTCCCTGCCGGTTCTTCCGTTCTTCTCGACGAACTCATCTTAGCCGGCCCTGCCCTCTCCCTGCAAGCCAGCCAGCCCAGAACTCAACGTCCTCTATCCCTCGCTCAGCTTCCCTGTTTGTTACATCATCAGCATCATCAGCATCATCATCACCACCATCACTATCGCCGGGGCTTTCAACCTGTGTCATATTTTCCCTCCTGTTTGCACCATCTCCGGCTGCTTCTCCGGCCAGCCTGCTTCACCCTCATCTTTGCCCTCGCCCTCACCCTCGTCCCTCTCGTCTTCTTCATCCTTGCCGGCCTTTTGATATCGCTCTTTCGCCCCCGGAGAATTGTTCCTTCGCTTCTGTCGCTCTCCACGTGGGTGACTAATACGAATATCACGTGTTCTGTTCTAATTTTATTCCTTCTGGAAGCCACGTGAAGTGCACTTTCCCTGTTTGGGACTAGCGTTGGGCTCTATCCTGTTTTGGGAAGGCCAAGCGAGCCGCGGCATTCTGATGCTGACTAAGAGTTAGTTCTCTGATAAGGTCGCAACCCAAGAGACTTATCAAAAGCAGCCCTATCTAAGTATGCTTCGCATGCAAAACAGCTTTCTGTCTGCTCAGGGAGGTATTTCGAAGCATCGATGGACTCGATCGAGAGAGGTAGGGAGATAGGGTAAAGGAGGAAGGGGCTGATCGACTCACCTCATGGCTCGTATCCGTGTCTGGCTCCTGAAACAGGCACACGTCCGGGCTATGCATGGAACATGGATGACCACGATACGATCTCATTTTTTCCCTCTCAGCAGCAGCAGCAGCAAGCAAGCAAGTGCAAAAATACAATAAAAGGAAAGAAATAATGACAAGGAAAGTAAACTCTGCTTGACAGAGCCTGAGCCTGGTGAGAACCTGCTCTGCTAGATTTTAGTGCATCAACTTCTTCGCTGTCGATCGCTGCGAGCCGAGCCTTCGTCGTCACCCTTGCCTAGGCTTGCAGCTAGCCATGCTGAACCTGCAGACCGAGGGATGAACGCATGGCAGGCGTGAAAAAGCGACCTGCGTCCGGCATGCCTTTCAAATCAGAGACTTGCCGAGCGGCTCGGCCTGGGGAATATGGGGGTGTGGGAGATTCCCTTTCATGCCGATAGAGCTACCTTCTTTTACCTCTGTGGAAGCGTACCGATCTTATGCATCCTCGCACAATACTCTGAGTTGTCAAACGCACTTGAATGAATCTCTCACTCTCGATCTTCATGGCGACTTAATCTCGCCGAAACAATTTGTAACTCAACTTTCCCCAAGCCACCATCGGCCCGCACTGCGTTCAGCCTCGTGATATCCGAAACGAACGCTGCACGACCCATCACAGCGAAAGGGGGAGGAGGAAGCAGTAAAAACTGAGGAAGTCGAAACATCGGCCGCTTGGCTTCCTTGGATACATCGAGTTAACGCTGATGAGATGGAATCGGTTTTGCCTCTCATTTTGGCGAGTATGCAGCGAGACCGCCTGGGCGATCTGATAGGCAAGTGATACCTGCACGGACGGCGGTGGCAGAAGTATATCTACGATGCACATCAGCCCGCGAACAAGTCATGCCTTATCTTTCCCTTCAGGAGTGCCCATTCATGTTACATTCCAAGGTCAAAGTTACTCTTGACTCTCTGTCTGGCTGTATGTATGCGTTGGTGCACGCTAGTCCAGCGTGGCTTTCGGTTTAAGTTGCAGCAGCAATCAAGAGAAACAACTGGCCAGCATGAATGGCTCTCAACAAGCCTCGATCTGCACGAACTGATTCGCCAGCAGTTCCCGTATACGAGCGATGGCTGAGATATGAAAATAGACACACGGGATATGAATAGAAACACGCTGCTGCTGCGGGTGTGCAGCATCAGTGCGGCCTAGCAGCGTCGGTGTAGCATCCAGTAGTAATTATGGTCGCTCGCTATCAGATGGCGATGTCGCCGGTTTTGCAGAGTCGAAGATCAGTCATCTGCTGCTGCCACCGCTTGTTGATCGTGATAGTCTTGATATCGGTGTAGCTTATGCTGCTGTTGACCTTGGAGGTTGGTGTTGATGTCGATGTCGATGTCGATGTTGATGTCGTACGGAAATAATGTGCATACAAGGCTTGGCGTCAGATTTTGTCAGCCAAAACGCCCAACTGGGAAATATCAACGTCGCCAGCCAAACCTCAGCAGCGCCAGCGACGAGCAGCTCGAAGGAGAGCATCAAGCGAGTCCGGAGAGACACAAGACACGTGGATACGAAGCGATACCCCCATAGACACCGTGGTACTGCTCTGCAACCCTCCAATGGCCACCATGGCGCGAGAGACGCCGCAGCCACAGCCTGAACAACCGCAATCCTCAGCCTCGACCTCAGCATCAACGGCTTCACCATCTACACAGTCTGCGTTCTCACTGCCTACGTCTACAAAGCTGCTTATAGGCGGCTCAGCCTTCTTTGTTCTCTCGACCTTCATCACTCGCCGCTCGCTCAACCGCCGCCGTCTGGCTGCTATTCCTCAGTTCTACACCACCGCCTCGCACCACAAACCCAATGTCAGCGCACCGCTCGAGGCCCTGGAGGCTCTCAACCTCGCTACTCTCAATGTCGTGGCCCTGGCCATTCTCGGCGTCGGAGCAGGGATGAAAGCCGTTGGATTCGAGACCCTCGACGAGCTGCGGAGGATAGTCCGTGGTGGACTGGGAGCTGATGGCACGGGGAGGACGGAACAGCAGGTGGAGGAAGACATGGAGGAATGGGTTGTCTCCGTGCTGAATCGGAAGGCCAGCAAGGAGACCGCAAATGCGAAGGAGGCCGAGAAGCAACGGGCACAGGATGAAATCCGAAAAACCTGGTTGAATGAGCGGGGGAAAGAGAGGTGATCATACCTCAATCCCAGGATGTTTCTGCATGTACGACTAGAAAAAGAATTTGTATACTACTAACTACCGGAATCTTATACGGCTCCATCCCCTGAGTACAACCATATATATAACGGCATGTTCGTTATTATATATTGACTCGCGAGCATCCACTTGCTCTGCTGTATTAAAGTCAAGATAAGGGGTGCTAAAATTCCAAATCACAGCTACCAAGGTACACCCCTTTTAGCCCGGATCTACTCATACAAGCACTTGGTTATGGTTTTGCTACCAAGTAGTATGGTTTGAGATAACGTATCTGATGGACATGGCTAGCCCTGCTCGTCCTTCATCCTCTCGTACCGTTCGCGCGCATGTTCTCGAGTCTTCTCGAGAAACTCATCATATTTCCCACGCGTGTTTCGGCCAGCTTCCTGAACTGCATCTCCAACCTTTGAACCCTGCGCACCCAGTCCCACGCCCTGCACGTACAAGTCTGCTGCCACCGGCTGTTTCATGCCGCTCCCTTCCGCCCCGAGACCAGAGCCAGCCGACCAGCCCATCTTCCCCAGCAGGGCAGCACCCTTGGACAGCGCTGGTGGAGGGCTAGCAGCATTATCAGTGCCATCAGGGTTGCTGCCAAGCCCTTGCTCGTACTCATCCTGGCGGTCATCTTCAGCCTCTCTCTTCCTATTACTGCTCTTCGACGAACCAAACACCCTCCGCCGCTCTTTGGCACGATCGCGATACTCTGTCTGGTCCGCCGTGAGGGTTCGCTTCTTTGCCAGCTTTGCCTGTGCCTTAGCCTTCAGTGTCTCATCTTGCAGGTTCTCACGGTGCAGCTGGCTCAGCCGTTCGTGCTGGCGAACGTGGGCCTCTGACTTGAACTCTCTCATGCATAAATAACAACACAATCGGTTAAGGTCGGCGTAGGACTGCTGTCCTTGTAAATGTGGCTGCTCTGCCTGAACTGACTGCTGATGCTGCTGCTGATGGACCGGTTGAATATGAGGTGTTGATGGTGATCGGGCAGCGGCCGTGCCAGGGTCGTTGGAGTGATCCCCATCGCCCGTCTCGGCGCTGCGTCTATCGATGCCATGCAACTCCGCATGGCGATTGCTCCAGAATTGGAGATGCGAAGCCATGGCGATCTTCTTCGTTGCTGAGCCAGCAACACCCCCTGCTGTCGCCTCCACTTTCTTCCTCTTCCTCTCTTTCTCTCCATCCCGGCCAGGGTGCGCTGCCCTGGCAGTACTCATCTTCTGTCCGGACGTGGAGGCCGTTCCCCCTGCCTTTCCACTGAGTTCGCTCGTGGCAGCAGCTGTGGCAAGTTTGAGTTCGCTGGCATATGCCTCCTCATCCCAGTAAGCCAGCTTCGCAGCCAAGTTGCCAAGGGGGCTAAAGGTGAATCGCTCAAGCTCACTGTTCGTACTCGTAGCGCTGCTATGAACATCTGGGTTGAGATTAAGAACCGGTACAAACACGCCGGCGTGGATGTACGAGGCGAGCACTGGCTTTGAGGAGATGGTAAAGGTGTCGAGGGATGTGTAGCGAGTAAGAGCGCACTGAGCGTCCTCCACAGTCGCAAACTCCGCAAATCCATACCCCCAGCTCTCGTTCGTTCGGCGATCTCGTACCAACAGAACACGACGAATTGACCCATCTCGAGCCCCGAGATTGCTGTCGCCGGTTGTAGACGCGACCTTGGCTCCCTTCTTTGCCGGTGCTCCACCGACCCCGGATGAAGCAGAAGAGGCCGAAGCCGCAGCGGACTTGGACTGTTTGCAAAGCTTCGCAACACCCTTGGCCAGCACTTCCTCGGTAACGCTCGATTCGAGGCCTCGGAAGAGGAGAAACTGCGAGGGAGTGCCATCGGTTGAAACATCGTTGTCCCCGTTGTTCGCTACCTTGACAGTCTCCTCCATGGGCGGTACGGCAACATCTACAAATGTTAGCCTCTATATCGGTCTCGATATGTATGTGTGCATATCCATTCTAGTATGTAATTTTTCTTCTTTCTTCTTTTTTTTTTTTTTTTTTGGCCATACCTGGTTTGGATACCTGGCAGCGGAAGCACCGTTGTCGACCAGGATAGTTGACAATTGAGCACTATTTTGCATGTCAGCCCGTGGGCATAAAATAAAACCGAGGGTACCTGAATGGAACTCACATTAATACAGGTCCATTCCCCGTCAGCTCGAGCCCTGTTACGGTCCTCTCGCTCACGGCTGTAGGCAATCCTGACCCTTGCGCCCTGGCCATCGCCCCCGGCTTTGCCATACAGGTATATCGCAGGGAAGTTCAATTCCAGGAATTTACGCGAGTCATCGATAGAAGGGAAGCGGATAAACGCAAGTTGCCGTGATATTTCTAAGTCTGTTAGATGTATGCCAAAAATACGTATATGTGAAGTGGTTATGGAGTACTCACTTGTTTGTTTGTCGCGAATAACTCGGACGTCCTCGAGGCCCCGGACATGATAGTACTGGGCAAGTTCACTGGAAACCTACATAGAAAGACAAGTCGATTTCATCTCAGCATGCAGCCAGACGACAGGAAAACGGGGAGGGCTGTTCGAACGTCTTCTTCGACCATGTCAACCGGCACGCCCTCCATCATGACCTCCCTACTCTCCGTCCCGTAGTGCCGCAATGGCCGTGTGTGGCGTCCACCTCGGCTCCGACTGGCGCTCCTACTTCTGCTGCGACTGTAACTTCGACTACGCGCTCGACTCCGAGGTCGACTTCGAACTCGACTGCGAGATCGGCTGTGGGAGCGGCTGCGGCTGCGGCTGCGACTATAGTTCGCATCGTAGTCATATCTGGGAGGAGATCGGTAGCTTTCACGGTCTCTGTCTCTGTCTCTGTAGCCACCTTCCCAGCCCCGGTAGCGCCCCGGGTGCGGCGGCGGCGATCGAGATGACTGTCTGTAGGGTTCCCAATCCCTACTGCCACGATATTCGTCTGCGCTGTCTTCTCGCCTCCTGTCAGCCGTCCAGGCATCTTGGGCGTCACGGTCACGGTCACGGTAATACATGTCTGGGTCCTATCAGCACAGGCTCGGAGCCGCAATACAACAAATACAAAGAAAAGGGAAGAAAAGCGAGAAGCTGAAGAGTTAAGCAGAGGTAATAGAGAGGACTCCGTAGGGGGAAGGGCCAGAACGCGGAGAGTGAGGCAGCTCCGTACCGCCAGGGGAATCGTATCTCTGTCTCGAGTCTGGAGGCGACTGTCTGCTGTAACGAGGGCCGCCGTGGTCGGGGTATCTGCCTTCCTGGCCCCGGTAGGCCATGGCTGAGCTGTACTCTCAGTATTTGACGCGATATCCGCTGTGTCTGAAGCTGTCTGAAGCTGTCTAGGGCTGAGACTGAAGCTGTCGAGCTTTTGCAGATGAAGTAGAAAAAGCCCTTCTTGTCGCCGCAGATTTAGCTGGACCTCCAGGGATAGAATTAGGAAGGACGGGCGATCTGATAAGCGGATATAGGTTATTCCGTAATTGATTATGTCATTTAGATTATGTAATATTCAACTTATATAATCAGTTGCCCGGGGAGAAAAGAACGACTCCTGAAGGGCTTTGGAAGACTGATAGTAGGCAATTATATAACAGAAGCACTCTTATAAGACAGACTGAGACTGGAGCTGGAAGTTGTAGATACATTGGGCGCCAGCGGTTGGAAAACTGCGACCATTGGTCGTATGTATATAGTTAATCCTTCCCAACATCTGACAAGCGGACAGGCGGCGTACGGCGGCTAACAGTAGTCAGCTATTGATATTATTATTCGTCGCATAAATAAAAGTAACTTGTTAAGTTAGTTAGTTAGTCATGATTGGCTGGTGCCTTTTGTGCACGCAACGGGCTAAACTCTAGTAGCGCCGTCCTGGATGAACATCACCAGCGCGAGGTCGAGACGACAATCACACGTCCACAACCACCAACCATCATGAGGCTGGTGCGTGCTGGATGCTCGCTTGGAACGCTGGTCCCCGTCTCTCGTGGCCCCCGAGCGGCTTCCTTGGGCCTCCTAGCTTGCCCTCGACAGCGGTATCGACCACCAGCACCAGCAGCAACATCAGCACGACGAAGTCGCAAGACTGTGGTTGTTTATCGACGTGCGATGGCTACCCTGGCCGCAGCTCCTTTGAATGCTCGCCACTTCCCGGTGTCCGGATTCACCGAACTTGATCCTGCAGTAGCTATTGAAGAGGAATTGCTGCCGGACTACATTGCAGAAATGTATTATCCCGTACGTATCGGAGAAGTGCTCAATGGCAGATATCAGGTCGTCTGCAAGCTTGGCTATGGAACAACTTCCACAGTATGGCTTGCTCGCGACCTCCGGTAAGGAAAATAGCTTGCAGTTGCCTACCGACAGACAAATAGAAGAAACAGACGTCTAACATGCACATCTTAGGAACACGGACGATGGCTTCACCTATGTTGCCCTAAAGATATATGTCAACAGATATATCAAACGTGACGAGACAGCCATCTATGATCGGATCAATGCTGCATCTAATGTGGAAAGTCATCCGGGCTGCCGGTATGTTCGTAAACTGCTGACGTCCTTCAATATACAAGGATCACACGGGAAGCACCTTTGCGTTGTTCACCAGGCGCTTGGAATGAGTATGGATCAGCTTTTGCGATGCTTTCCTCGACGATCCATTCCAATGGACTCAATGAAGCGATGTCTCCGCCAGTTCCTTATCACACTGGACTTTCTACATACCGAGGCCGGAATCATACACACTGGTTAGCCGTGGCAGCCCATCATCACATTTTTGCTGCTCAAAGTGCTAAATCCTGACCTTCTCAGATCTCCAACCTAAGAATCTACTCCTTCCCGTTGATGATGTTTCGACGTTCAAAGAGATGGAGGAAGATGAATGCAAGAATCCTTCTCCGCGAAAAGTTCTAAGGGATCGCTCTATTTACAGCATGCGTAGGCTGCCTCTTCCGAACGGAGGGCTGCCCTTGATCTGTGAGTTTGGAGAGGCCAGGGTGATGAACGAAGAGGGACATACTGACGATATCATGCCCGATATCTACAGGGCCCCCGAGGTCGTTATGCACATGAAGTGGAATGTAAAGGTTGATATCTGGAGCGTTGTGATGGTGGTAAGTCACATCAACTCAGTGATCTCTTCCTCTCTAGCTCAATAATCTGTCTGAAGGCCTGGGATCTTGTTGCTCCGCAGCCCATGTTCAACCGTCAGCACCCAGAGACCGGAGAACCTGATGATAGGTATCTCATTGCGCAGTTCGCCGCTATCCTGGGCCCACCACCTGTCGAGTTCTGGAGCCAGAGCAAACTATGTCAGGCGTTTTGGGATGAAAATGGTTTGTCGACTTCCACAGCAACAGTCTCATTCTCTCTCCCTATAAGTACTGACGAAATCATATTCGGAACAGGGAACTGGAAAAATGTGGTTCCTCTCCCAGAGATATCTCTTGAGGGGCTAGCTGCAGATATTGAGGGTGAAGATGTGCCAGGCTTTCTACGCTTTCTGCGGAGGATCCTCCGCTGGCTCCCCGAGCAGCGTCCGACGACCGAGGAGCTGATCCACGATCCATGGTTGCTAGCGGGTCTTGGAAGTGGAAGCCAGGGACAAATCAAAGCTGACAAAGACTCTCTGCCTGTGAGCTGATGCAGTGTAAAATCTCAAATCTTACCCACTACAGCCATCCAAGAAACCCACTACAGTGATGCCTTTGCGATACCTCCGCGATAGCGCATCGTGGATAACCTTGGATTTGGGGCTATTCAATAGTATGTCTAGCCCTAGACACTCAGTTGAATCGCTATATTGCTGTCAAAGTTGGGAGTGAGACCTCGCTTCCGCACGAGTCAAAAGGTTCTCCAGTGCCTCTTAGTAGCACAACCGTCATCTTTATCATCGCACTGTGTGATATATGTGTTTTGGGAAATACCTCCTGGGTCCATTCCTGTGTAGGATCAGGGATTGTGGCCACTTGATGTCCAGTTAAGCCCATGCGTATAGTGTAATCTAGTGTTATTATTGCTGTTTCCATGATAGATAGAAACGAATCAGGCAGAAGGGAGAATAACTAATGGACGCTTATCATTCAAAAGTAAACCAAGTAATAGAGCTGAACATGGGAATTAAATCGGCTCTTAGTCGAGCCTAGGATGTTCTACTGAGATGAATATGCTCCCTGCATAGTTGATGTGGTGATCGTAAACAAGCCTGAAAATGAAACTAGGGAAAAAGAAGGCTCCTCGGATCTCATCATCTTCCCCAGCATATATTATATGCAGGCATGCTGTGATTTCAAGATGACCAACTGTCCTGCTAGGAGTCATCGATATCTATCTCTCAAAGTATGCACTTCACAGAAACGTCAAAATAATGAGATTGCCATTTGCAATCATCTCAAGGCGAGCAACATCGAACACCCCGGGATACCGTTTGTTCGCATAATACTTGATTCTTTCAACATCATGGGTCCAACTGGGAACCAACACCAGTGCTTACTTTACCAACCACTTGGGATGAGCTACACGGAATTCCTTGACATGTTTCCCCGCAAGCAGATGCCTGAAGCCCTGGTTCAAAGGAGCATGCAGTTGATACTCTTGGGGCTAGACTATCTCCACAAAGCCAGGGTTGTCCACACAGGCATGTTTTCCTTATCTGGTACATACAATGCAAGCTTGGGACCCAAGAACTGACCTTTCTAGACATATCTGCAAATAACATTCTCCAAGGGATCACTGATCTTACGGCCCTTTCTGAATTTGAAGATGGTGAGGTCAACCAGCCCATCGCTAGAAAGGTTCTTGATGACCGCACGATCTATGTGTCGCGACCCATGCCGATAAATACGGGATTACCTGTCCTCTGTGATTCGGTGAAGCGCGCATCGGTGACAAGCACAAGGACGATGTTATGCCAGGGATTTACAGGGCTCCAGAGGTTATTCTGGATATGGAATGGGATTCTAAAGTGGATATTTGGGCAGCCGGCCTCACAGTAAGGGGATTATCTCTACCCATTCTGCGTATATGAGGTGCGACTAATTTCGTTGTTCAAGACCTGAGATCTCCTCGAAACGGGAAATCTTTTTTTCGGAAGAACAGACGGCCTACTGAATGATGAACAGCATCTAGCTGAAATGGTGTCACTTCTCGGGCCTCCGCCTCTCGAGTTCATAAGACGGAGCGACAAGTGACTTCAGTACTGGGATGAAAACGGTATGATCATAACCCAGCAATTGCGGACTACCTTGTAAAGCTAACAAATGTCGTCCGTAGCAAACTGGAAAGGATCTATTCCTATCCCGGAGCAATCTTTTGAGATACGCGAGCGGAGCCTGGACGGGGATGGCCGTATTGTGTTCTTACATTTCCTACGATCGGCGCTCACATGGTTACCTGAAGAGAGGCTTCCAGCCGAAGATCTGGCACGACACGCATTTCTTATGCAGCCCCTTCTGGCTGCAGGTGGTCTCAAGCATCATTCTTGATGATCTGTTTTGATAATTGGGTTGTTTGGTGTGTGGTTTATACACACTCTTTGTCATCTGTATGGCATTCCCAAGGACCAATGGCAAGCAACAGCAGTATCTCCAAGGTCTGGATCATCCGATTCGTCAGAGAAGTACTATAGTAGCGAGCTAATCATGTTAACTAATTACCTCGTCAGGTCGACTAATCATTATACAGTTGCGTAGAGGCTCGGGTTCAGCTAGGGGCGTTGTAGCTCTTCTAGTTTCACCTTGCATTATGTTATGCAGGGATGAAAGGGGGTAAACTACAAGGAGGAACGGAAAACTCCCGTCCTTCTTGCCACCCCCAGTTACAGTACAGTTAATTAGCGCGCGGCAGCCCCTGATAGAAATATTGCTTTGGAAACTTTTCTCACATACTTATTAACAAATTCCAAGCAAATACGGAGTACTCTACGGGGTACGCAACTCCTAATTGGGACCCGATAGTTTTAGACAACTGCCATGAAAACCACAAAAAACGTGGGGAACAAATATCCTAAACTATATTGTGCCTCTGCCTTATCAAATCGGCTTTTTTCTACTACAGATCTACACCACAGATCTAGGTGTACGGTAAGATCGCTCGGAGTATGGGGTACGGAGTACTTGGTCTTTTCAGTTTGCTTCCACAGAACAAATAAATCATAATACACTCCGTAAAGTCAGCCTTGTTTTAGGCTACCGCAGTCAGTATATCACCTCAATGCTGTCCCCCGGGCTCCATTCCCATGAAAGGCCCTCAGGTACGGAGTATCTACATCTGCTTACACGCCCGTCGCAATGGAGGTCGTTATTAGTCAGCAATTAAGCTTCGTAGCTACAAAGCATAAATATTAACAGATAACTAAAATAGACCACCAATAAGAATTTGCCAAATTTAACTCGCACGCCATCAAATATATGATTCGCTGCCTGTGCAAGTAAGAAATCAATTTGTCATCATCTATCTATTACTAAGCAAGTTCGGCCCGAGTCAAAAAAGTAAAAAAAACAACACCGACGACGAGGAGGAGAAGACAGAGAAGAGAAACAGAGGGACAAGTTGGAGTGACAGTCACGGTGACACGATGACACACAGAGAGAGTCCGAGATGAAACAGTACAGCAAAGGAGGAGTGATGATACGATGTCGACGTTGTGCTGGAGAGGCCCAAAAGAAGAGGCTGGGGCCCTGCGGCGGCGGCCACTCCCAGCCTCCCACATCACCGCACCAGCCAGCCAGACGGGGACACAACTCCCAACCACCCGCCAGTGCTAGTGCAGCAAGCTCATAAGGACAGCGATGGCGAGGATAAGAAGTCGGCGGGCCCAGTCACTCTCTTGCCTCCTCTTCCTCTTCACCGTCTAGACCCCCCCAATAACCCATAATCAAGCCCACTATGCAGCGTCACCAGCAGCAGCACCCACTTGAGACGCCTCGGTTGAAGGTCGTTGGCAGTAAGTCGGCCATTACTCCTCTATAAGCAAGCTCATATACTGATTGACCGCCCAGGTAGCCAGCCGAAGCTGGTTCACACACCCTCCCAGCAGTCAATTGCTGCTTCGGACGACTATTACTCCTTCTCAGACCTGACCTCTCACTCCAGCGCCAGTAGAGCCACTGTGGTCCCCTACCAAACAGCTTCCTCTCGACATCCTTCTCCAGACCGCCGACAGGCACAGGCAGAGTCACAACCACAGGCACAGACACAGACACAGACAGATACGCAGGCACAAGATATGCCCAGACCGCCTAGAGTCGTCAACATGAGCTCTGCAGCTCGAGCAGAGAGCGGCACGCCGACTCCAGGGACGGATGACTCACCTTACATTCGCTTTGCCATTGACCAGTTGACCAGAGACGAGGAACTTACGGGCCATGGACGCCATGGATCGCTAGCTACCTCGGCTGACTATCCTGTTGAGCGACTTGTTCCTGACGAGGGACTCGGTTACTACACCAACAACACCACGGCAACCAAAAATATCAATAAAGATGACAATACACGGAACACACATACAAATATCAAGAAGGAAATTAATGACCATACTAACAATAATGATAATGATAATCATAAAATGGAAAACTCGCCAAAGACCGGAATCCTCCTTGCTGTCGACCCCCCGATCAACGCGCCGCTCACTTTTGTTCCTTACGTTCTTCGACCGGTACTTCTCGGTCCTGTTATCCTACTCACTCTCGGTATGGCCACAGTCCTCGCTTTCATCAATATCTGGTCTTCGAGAAACGATGGAATGGCCGGATACGTCTACTTTGGCGGCTCGGAATACTTTTTGTTTGAGTTTCTGCCCCAGATAATCGGCATGTTGTTCGTTCTGTGGAACTTTGTCCTGCAAGCGGCTGTCTACCGCATTGCTCCTCTCTCCGGTATAGCCCGTGCTCAGACGGCGAGAGACACCACCTTCCAGCGGCTGTCCATGCTGCCTAGAAACTTCGTTCTGCCAGATCTCTCGCAATTTACCTATGGCGAACCCCTCGTAGGTGTTTGTCTGCTCATCTTCTGGTTCGTCAATTGGTTTACTGTACCTCTCCTCAGCTGCCTATTTCAACCTCGCTTCTATGGCACTCTCCAAGATGGTGGTTTCCGCTGGGTCAGCGTTCAGGGAGTTGGCTGGATGCTCTTCTCCCTCTACTGCATTCTTGCCCTGGCTTTGCTCGCCCTGCTGGCCCGCTTTGGTTTTGGCACCAGTGGTCTCCAGTGGGACCCCGTAAGCCTGGCAGACGTCATCCCACTTATCCAACGATCAAATGTGCTGCACGACTTTGACCAGTCAGAGGTCACTCCTAATGTCGCGGGCCATCTTCCTCCCAGAAAATTGCGATTAGGTTATTGGAAATCTTCTGCAGCTCCCGAGGATAGCTTCTACGCCTTGGGTCAGGAGGCCGCACCATTGAAGAGAGTATCTTCGGTCGACCGCCTGCTTGAAAAGGGCCATAGCCACAGAAGAAGCAACAGCACCAGCAGTAACCACAACATCGATTCCATTGACCTCGAGCGACAGGACCTTCACAGCAAGGACTCCTTCGAAAGAAGTCTACACTCACCCTTCTTCCGCTATAGATGGGTACCCTGGTTCCTTAAAGATACTTTCATTGTCGTCTGGATTGTCATTTCTCTCGTTCTGCTTATCGCTTTCATCACCGTCAGCTTCGTCAACCGCCCGTTGGAGCGAGGTTTCCTGCCTCTTTTACCAACTCTCCCGTCTGTGTCCGGCTTCTCTGCCTCCAATTTTCTCTTCAGTTTCATCCCGGCCATGCTCGCAAATTTCCTCTTCCTTGCCTGGCAGCCCATTGACGTCTACTTCCGTGCCGCCCAAGCCTATGCTGACCTTTCCTCTCCGCGCGGCGCCTTTGCAGAGAAATCTCTCTTGCTTTCTTACAATGCCTGTCTGCCCCTTGAAGCCACCTTCCACGCTCTCGTTGCCGGTCATTACAAGGTAGCCTATATCTCCTTTGTAAGCGTCGCCTCAATCGCTCTGCCCATCCTCGCTGGCGGTGTCTTCATGGCGCGCTTCTACTCCGAGCTTGAGCAGGTCCGCATCTCCTCTTACTTCCCAGCTTATTATACCCTCATCGGGTTTGCCATCTTCTATGCCTTTTCCTTCTTAGCTATCTGGCCCAGGCGCAAACGCTACCTCCCCCACCCTCTGTACACCTACGCCGACACCGTCAGCTTCCTTTATCAAAGCCCCTTGCTCGTTGACAAGGTCTTCCGCGCTCCCCGAACAAAGACGGATCTTATCACTCGAACTATCGTCGCGCCGCCTGGTGAGAGCCACAAGGCACTGTATGCCTTCGGTCTCTTCTATGGACAAGATGGTAAAAGCCATCTTGGCATTGACCGTCTGAGAAGACTTGAGGGAGACGCTTAGAAACCGACTCTTCTCTTCTCCTCCATTTTCCAGTTTAGACGTTTTTTCCCCCTTTCGGATGAACAACAGCATGGAGTTACTGGTTTATAATGGTTTATGTTTTAATGAGCGTTCTCGCAATGAGATTATTCTAATGTTTTTAAAGACAAAAGTGAACGAGAAAATGACGAGATATGTATTTTAGACAATCCTAATAACAAAATTATGAAACCCTTATCCCTGACGAGACAACGCCTGCATCAGTTTCATCTAATGTTTTCTGCCCGGTTTCAAACTCATGACTCCGTATGTAAATCATAATCAAATCCAAAATTCATCCATATAACAAAAGGTAAGGAGGCAACGATAGGAAGGGTGAATGCATGATCAATGATCTTCGCCAGGCATAAGCGGCTGTTTGTGAACCGCAGTATAGGATGTGTCGGCGGAAGACAAGGGGAGCGAGTCAGCAAATTTAGTAGCCACAAAATCGCTTCTCATCTGGGGAAAGCAGTCCCCTGCATGAAAGACGGTCATGAGCAGAGCAGCGATTAGACATAGGCTATTTACCGGGTTAGACATGTAACAACCAGTACGTGGTATTTATAAAGGGGGTGCAACTTACAAGGACTCAAGGACAACGAAGGAGACTTCGTCCTGCATGATCTCGTTTCTCCAGCCACCAACCATTTCGGCAATTCTAGTAAAATCAGAGTTAGCCGTCATCTACAGAGGTACTTAAACCAGACTGACATTAGAAAAGAAACATACCTATAAACACATCGGATGAATATAAATAGGAAGGCAACGGTTGTGCTTCCAAGGAATAACTTAAACTTCCTGCTACCCCAGAGCTGTTTGGCCGTTGGATTGGCACCGTGCCTTCTCTCACTCCTGAGTCTCCAGAAGAAATGTGCGACAAGGAAACCAAAGACAGTTAGCGTAAAGACCTGCCAGACAATTCCGGCAATCATAACGTTAGTACCGGCATCCTGCTGAGCCTTGTTCTGCTTTGCGGTAGCCGCAAGACCACCGCCGATACCTTGGAGCGTGAGCGAGAGCAGATCGACACCGATGAAGATCCAGGTATAAAAACGTGGTTTGAGGAGAGACAAGTTCGGTCCCAGTGCCAGGCAGAGA